TGGGTGGGGCAGCGATCTGTTTAACATGCTTTCCTTGGACATGCTACTCAGCGCCTCAGTCCCACACCCACCCCTGCTGTGTCATAGTTCCACCTCTCATTGGTATCCAATTCAATATCTATCCCATTATGTAATCTCACCACTTGGAAAGTGAAAGCAGAAGGATCAGCAATTCAAGGCCAATTCAGCTACACGAGAAGTTTAAGGCTAGCACAGTCTATTCTTCCAAAAGACCAGGGTGGTTCAATTCCCAGCACCCACATGGCAGCTCACAACTGTCTGTACCGCCAATTCCAAGGGATCTGACACCTTCACACTAATGCACATAAAATAAAATTAAATACATTATTTTAAAAAAAAGAAGTCTTATTTTGTTTCCAGACAGGGTTTCTCTGTGGAGCCTTGGCCCAGCAAGAAGGGAGGCAGAGGTAGGTGGATGTTATAAATTCAAGGCCAGCCTGATCTGCAAAAGGAGTCCAGGACAGCCAAGCCAAGGCCATAAAGAGAAACCCTATCTCTTGAGAAAAACAAAAAATAAACAAAAAAACTAAAGTGGGGGGGGGGGGTCGTGAGATAGCGGCTAATCTGGTCTACAATAAACAAACAAAATTGTGACAAAATATACAAAAACATGTCACATATCACACCATTTAACTTTATACCACCTTCCTGACCCTGCCTCTCCTCAGCGCTTGCTAAATCAAAACAAGGAAGGCCTTAATCAAGCTAGCTGAGAAATCATGGGTGAACACTCTCAGCCTGAGAAATTGAACTTATGAAGAAATAAGAAGGTTCATGGTTTGGATTCTAGCCTAGCGTGGGTGTGGTCCTGTCACAGGGGAAAACTTGAACTTTGGAATAGGCTATGGTGAATTATGCCTGTAATCCCAGCGCTTGGAAGGTTGAGGCAGGGTTGAAGTAAGCCAGCCTGGACCAGGAAGTGAGGCCATATCTCAAAACAACAACCAAAAGTGTATTGTCTCAAGTTATCTGGTTGCCTCAATGAAAACCTAACACAGAACCCTACTTTATTTATATCTCAAATGCAACGCTGAAACTAGGGTTCCTACTACCAGATTTGGTAAGATTAAATTGGCCAGTTTTATTTATTTACTCTTGTTTGTTTCTTGTTTTTGTTTGAGACAGGGTCTTATAGTAGCTTACATAGTAACCTATGTAGACCAGGCTGACTTTAACTCACAGAGATCCACTGGCCTCTAACTCCCAAGTGCTAGGATTAAAAGCATGCTCCATTCATTCAGTCGGTGGTTCCAGGAGACAGAATTTCCACCATAGAGCATGGCCAAGTTCGTCCATAACTTCGTAGAAAGGCTCCGTGGCTGGTGACCATGGCTGTGGCTTATTTGATTGGCCACATTTGGGCAGTATGCTGAGCTGTTCGGTTCCCCAACCCCTGCTGAAATCCCTACAGCTATTCAGAGTGTGAAAAAAATAATTCAAAGTGTTAAAACTGGTAGCTTCGAACAGCTTATAGTTAGGAAAGCTGTGCTGAATGTTTCGGTGAATACTTTGGTGTAGACATGGTTTTATATTTATAGGCAAGCATGGCATCATTGGCGATGATGTTTGAAGACCAATCTTTAATATCTGATTTTTTTGGGTTCTTATTTGAAGTCTTATTGGGCCGTGTGTAATGAGACTACTATTTGAATAAAATACTAGCTGTCGAAAAAAATTATGTTCCATCATGTCCCACTCAAACTGGCCAATTTTTAAAAATATTTATTTTGTAATTAATGTGGTATGTGCGTGAGTGTGCCGTCTATGTGGGAGTGCCTGTGGAGGCTAGAAATGGGCATCAGATCCCCTGGATCTGGGGCTTCTAGGTGATTGTGAGCAGGCAGGTGCGGGGGCTGGAACTGAACCCCTGTTCTCTGAAGAGCTGCGAATGTTCTTAACTGAGTCATCTCTCCAGCCCCTGAACTGACCAATTATGTCTTGAAAGTCTGTAGGCTTTCACTAAAGTAGGGTAGGGCTTCATGACCCAGAGCGAGTATATGACAGAAGATGCTTGTTTGGGTTGTCGGCTAAGATGTGGGTATAAGAAGAGTTTTGGTGCTGGGCGTCCAGCAGTCAGACACTGACCCAGCCAGCAGAGGAGGGACTGGACGGATGACTCAGTGGTTAAGAGTACCTGTGGTTCCTGCAGAGGACCTGGGTTAGTTCCTAGCACCCGTGTGGTGGCTTATAACCATTTGTAACTCCAGTTCTAGGGGATCTGATGTTCTCTCCTGACCTCCCTGGGTACCAGACAAGGATATGGTACATAGACATAGCTGCAGGCAACACACACACCTAAGATAAATAAACATGAAAAGAAAGAAAACAGAGAAGGGCAATAAAAATGAGAGCTTGGGACTCTGGAGGTCATGTGACCAACATGTGGCCTTTAAAGATAGTGAAACTTAGATACCAGCCGGGTAGAGGCTGGGAGGCGGTTGCCAAATTGCCTGATAAATAAATGCTCTGACGGTGGTGTTTTGACTCAGGGTTGATTTATTTTCAGAAGAGTTTGGGTGTAGGAACCCTGCATGGGAGAGACTGGGACCATCCCAGTTAGAAGGGAAGACCCTGCTTCCCCAGAGCGCGCAGGGCCAAGTCCAACCAGCTGCTGGCTGCGGCCTGCTCCTTCTAGCAGAGTACTTCGTGTTCTAGGAAGCACAGCGGCGCTGTCTCCGGCTTCCTCCCACACTCTCCTGGGTCCTACGCTGTCTGCTCTCCGCTCACCTGCTGTCTGCAGCAAGGGCCCACGCCACCACCTCCAGTTTATTTAAAAGTCGGTTTGTACCTGTGTCAGGACCTAACAACCTGTGCTGACGCCCTCACCCCCACCCGGTTCGGCTGTGATCTCAACAGTACCTGCAGCTGTCTTTCTGACTGCAAGTTCCGGGAGCAAGTGCTTTGCTTGCAGATAGGGCACCCCTATCAGGCACTCAGCTTCTCAGTCAGCAGGTTGGTTTATTTCTCAGAACAAATCAATACACAAAGATGACTTTTGTCATCTCTGCATTCCATGTCCTTTCATTTACTCAATAAACACACCGAGTGAATGAAAGTAAAGTCCTAGTCTGCATTCAACTCCTACCTGGGATGGCATCTTCCTCATAGTTATACATTCTATCTATCGATTTTCCTTCCTCCTTTTTTTTTTTTTTTTTTTTTTTTTGAGACAAGGCTTCTCTGCATTCTAGCCTTGGCTGTTCTGGACTCTCTTTGTTGTAGACCAGGCTGGCATTGAACTCAGAGATCCACCTGCCTCTGCCTCCTGAGTACTGGGATTAAAGAAGTGTACCACCACACCTGGCTATTTTTGCTTTTTCAAAGCAGAGTTTTTCTGTGTAGCCTTGGCTGTCTTGCATTCTCTTTGTAGACCAGGCTGGCCTTAACCTCACAGAGATCTGCCTGCTGCTGGGATTAGGGTGTGAGCCACCACCCCTGGCCTATCTATCTTTTTATACATATACAATGTATAGTTATTAGAGCTGCAGCACTAAGAAGGTACAGGTTGGGGGTAGTGGAGAGATGTTTCAAGGGTTAGGAGCCCTTGTTCTCCTTGCAGAGGACCTGGGCTAGGTTCCTAGCACCTACACGGTGGTGGCTTACAACTATCTGTAATTCCACTCCCAGGAGATCTGACACCATCTTCTGACCTCAACAAACACAACCCACCACCACTACCAAAATCTTAAACAACAAAACAGGAAAAACATTCCATGGGGAAAAAAATGGGTGTTGTAGCCCATGCCTATTACCCCAGCCCTTGGGAGGATGAGGAACCTGTGTCTTTTGAATACTGACAGAAACACTTCTGGCACAAGTTCAACCTGCTTTTTCCAGCCAGACAGAGGCAGTTTGAGCAGACACTGGGCAAGAGCCAGAACCCTGGCCAAAATATGTCTCCAGAAGAGGTTCGAGACTTCTAGGAAAAGTGGAGGGTTGAGGTCTCTTTAACAAATGAAACACACAGAAACTGTGATGCCATGGGTGGAGGACAGCGGGTGTGGAAATCCCAGCATAGGGTACATGGTTGTAGTTACGGAGGACAAATAAGATTAGAGATCTAGCTGAGCATCATGCTGTAATCCCAGCACTTGGGAGGCAGAGGCAGAATGATCTCTGTGAGCTCAAGGCCAGCCTGCTCTACAGAGTGTGTTCCAAGACAGCCAGGGTTATACAGAGAAACCCTGTCTGGAACAAACCAAAAAAAAAAAAAAAAGACACTTGTTAGATAATGCATTCATCATTGATAATCCTTTTATTACATATTTGGATCACATTGTAAACCTGAAAGGATAAATTGGCAGTGGTGGCATATACCTTTGATCCCAGCACTTGGGAGGCAGAGGTAGGCTGATCTCCGTGGTGAGTTTAAGGCCAGCCTGGTCTACAGAGTGAGTTCCAGGACAGCCAAGGTTACACAGAGAAACCCTGACTCAAAAAGCCAAAACAGTAACACCCAAAACACACACCTACAGAATTAAAAAAAATACTAAAGGGTTAAGTGCCCACCACTCTCAGGCATTAGCATCCTGCCCTCATTGGCATCAATGTGGGCTCCTCAAGGCCATCTCCTAGCAAAGCAGCATGGGCATGGGTAGGGAGATCTATAGTCAGGCAGAGAAAAACTGTCAGCTGTGGCACCAAGAGCGCAGGCTGAACCATCTCTGCTGGGTCAAAGAAATGGCAGTGCTACACCAAAGATTCCCCAGGGTCCAATGCTGGCTGTTCCAGTGATGGGGATGAGGCCTCTGTCCTCTGTGTTTATGCTGCACATTCGGGACAAGTATGTTCACCACATCCATCTGTCATCTGAAGAAAGAGGAAAACAACATGTCTTACACCAAAAGTGCAGTCCTTTTCTGTTCAAGTAAATTATTTTACTAGGAACTTAACATGTGTTGATTTGGGGATATCGGATTTTTTTCTATGTCTTATAAACTTTGGAACTGACCTTAAAAAATAAAATAAAATGCAGGGGTGCCTTTATTCAAAGTGATTGTGGGCTGCCTGTGCCCGGGTCATTGATACTGCAGGAGAGGCTGCGGAAAGCCTTTTCCCGTGTTTGGGAAGTCTGCTCCTGTCCTTGCTAAACGTGGGTGCTTTCAAACACATCTTCCTGTTCATAGCTTTCGGTCTTCTGGCTGCTGATTCCAGGCTCGCTGAATGCTCTCTACCAGCACTAGTAGTGGCCCCAAAGGCTTATGGAAGGGAGGTAAAAGCAAGGCACTGCTTTGAGAGGGTCTCTTCTGGCCTACTTTTGCAGGTATCCCACGAGCCCCAGTTCTGTCCTCCTGTGTAACAGCCTTACCTGCCTTCTGTGGCTTCCACAGAGGAGAGGCCTCCAGAGCCCATGTGGCGGAAGGCTACCTGATCTCCACTCCTTGCTCCTCAGGTGTTTGGGCTAGGGAGTGGACACCAAGACCACGATGCAAAGTGAAACTGGAGACACTGTCTACTCAGAACATGAAATAGCTTTTTACTCTCCTTAGGTCAGGTGTGGGAGAATCCAGCATACAGAGTTTGACATCAGCACCTTAGAGGGACATGACTTGCCCCTGTGTCCATCTGATAGTCCTGTAATGACTATAGTGACAAGAGCTTTTCTATTGAATTTTTTTGCTAACTTTTCTGCTACTTTCCCAAGAACTGTGCAACAAACCTTGTAGCTTAAAAATAAAATAAAATAAAGGGAGACAGTGGTGAAGGCTTTTAATCCTAGTATTCCGTATTTGGGAGGCAGAGGTCTGTTCATTCAAGTCCAGCCAGGTCTATTTATTAAGAAGAGAGAGAAAGAGAGAGACAGAGACAGAGAGCGAACTTTGCATCTAAATGCTTCTCCAGCTGAGCATGGTGGTGCACACCTGTAATCCCAGCACTCTAGGAGGCAGAGGCAGGCGGATCTCTGTGAGTTTGAGGCCAGCCTGCTTTATAAAGTGAGTGTAGGAGAGCCAAGGCTACACAAAGAAATCCTGACTCAAGAAATCAATATATAAAAAAACAAAATGTTCTTTTAAAAAAGTTCATGTACAAAGTAAATAAACTGTAATTAATAAAAAACTTCAAGTAAGTTTCTGTGATGCAGTCTTGGTTTCTGACACATCAGAGTTTAGACAGAGTTTGGAGAATTGATTGGCTCATAACAGTACTGAGTTCATCAGTGTGATTAATATAATCTGATGGGCTTTGGGAGAGTGGTGGGAACATTAGGAGAAAGGGCCTGGTTGCTGGGAGCCAGTCTGTGGGAACACGCTCTTGAAAGCTTTATGTTTATTGACGGATCATTGCAGTGTAGCCCAGCCTTTTCCCTTAGCTTCCCAAGCACTGGTATTACAAACAAGGGATACCTCACATAGTTATTTATTAACTTATTTAATCACTACTATTATTATTTTGATAGGGTCTATGTGGTCTGGGCTGGCTTCGAACTTGCAGTGATTTTGATACCTAAGCCTTCAGAGTGATGGATTACAGATGTCCGCCTGGCACTTCCATTACCGTGGATTCTGACAGTCCCTGTGGGATGGGCTACTGCCCTCCGGAGAGAGAAGGAAACAGATTCCAACGCAATAGCTGTCCAGTTCATACCGCAGGCCTTTCCCCGCCTTCTGCTTCACCAGCCACAGCTTGGAGGTCGGTGCTTGCCTGCGGTCCTTTGACAGCTAGGATCTGCAGCATCCGAGCACACCTGGCTAGAGCGCGGCCCCGCCCTCTCAGGGCGGAGCCTGAAGCCTCACCAATCAGCGTCGCCGGAGGAGGGCCGCGGACAGCCGGCGGTGCTCGCAGTTCCCGAGACCGGGGCGCTCGGAGACGCGGAGACGCCGCGCGGGGCTGGCGCGGAGCTCTCGGGCTCCTCAGTCTCCCTCCCCTCCCCTCCCCTCCGCTGTCTTCTCCTTCTCAGCCGGACCGGAACTATGTGATCCCGGAAGTTCCGGGGCCATTGCTGTGTGGGATAAACAGTAATGGCGGAGGCTGCGGCTCCCGGAACAACAGCCACAACATCAGGAGCAGGAGCGGCAGCGGCGGCGGTGGCAGCGGCTTCCCTCACCCCTATCCCCACAGTCGCTGCCCTGTCCCCGGGGGCGGGAGGAGGGGTCGGCGGCAGCGACGGCGGCGGCGGCGGCGGCTGGACGAAACAGGTCACCTGCAGGTAGGACGTTGCGTGGCGCGGCGGAGGGCGGGGGCTGCGGGACGAGCCGGAGGCGGAGGCGGGCGCCGCGGGATGCCCGGCGCGGCCGCCCGCCAGCGTCGCCGCGTCAGCCCCCGCGGAGGTCCGCTGCCGCCTCGCTGCGGCTCCGGCTGCGGGCTCGGACCGCGGCGCTCCCGCCGCCTCCCCTCGGCCAGCAGCGCCCCGGTGCGTGCCGAGGGACCGGTGTCCCCGCCCCGGTCTCCCATCGCCGCAGATTCGGGGATGCGGCGCGAGCTCGCCGCCGCCGATCGGGCTCCAACGACCCTCGGTGCGCCCTGAGACCCTCCCAGGGTCCCGGCGAGCTCGGCCGGCCCCGGGCCTCCGCGCCGCGCTATCCGTTTGTAACGTCTTTTCTGCGCCCTGCGCCGCGCACCCCCGCCCCGCCGGGAGCAGCCGCTTTTGTATGCCTTTGTATGTGGTCGGTGGCTGGCGGTTCCGAGCTTTGTCTCCGAACCGAGCGTTCGGAGCCGGCGTTAGGCTCCGCCACCCTTGGTCTTTTATGAACTGTCATTATTATTACCGTCCTTTTGAGCGGCGTTCCTCTTTGCGAGAAAGGAGATCCTAGGAGAGTGGTTTGGTTCTGGTTTGGTAAGCGAGACGAAATTATTCGAAGAAATGTATGATCAGGTGGCGGTTATACAGCACGCATGTAAAAAAAAGAAAACATTCCCAGTCGTAAATGTTGGGGTATTTGTTGTATTAACGATTTGGGGTGGAGGGTGTTTTATTGAGGCAATCCTGCTGTGTAGCCTGGTTGACCTATATAGTCCCGACTGCCCTAGAATTTTCGGCAATCTTCACGCCTCAGCCTTTGCCTGGAGCGGGGCTGCAGGCTTGTCATGACACCACGCCCGACTATATTGACTTAGCCACCAGGACGGACTCGAAGGTTTTCTGTTGGTTAAAAAAAAATTCAAAGGAAATACCACTTTTCACCCGACAAGGGCAGTTTATACGCAGATGCTGAAGGCTTTTCCTGTAGAAGACCTCGCTGTTGCTATTAACCCAGAAATTGGAGAATTCCCAGCCTTTCAGTCTTTCCTGTAACACACTTAATAACGTTAGATTAAAGCTTTCCCTTCGTCTTTTATTTTCTAGGCAAGGTCCAGCTTTGCAGCCCCGGTTGTCCCAAAACTGCTACAAAGACCAGGCTGGCCTTGAACTTCCATCTTTCAGCCTCTGCCCTCCCAGTGCTGGGATAACAAGTGTTTCTACCGGGCTGATAGGTGAAATATTAAATACCTTGATATTTTTCTTTCTATAACGTACAATCTTCGTCTAGTCTAGTTTTGAATACTGGTTACCAGATAACACTACTGATTTATCATCCTGTCAGATACCTGCAACTTCACCTACAAAATACTGTTTCAACCTTCTTTTTTTTTTTTTTTTTTTTTTTTTGCGACAAGGTTTCTTTATGCAGTCTTGGCTGTCCACCTGCCTCTTACCTACGAGGGCTGGGATTAAAGGTGTAAACCACGACTGCCCGGCTAACATTTTCCCTTAAAAAAACAATTACTACTGTTTTCATGATGTGTGTGGTGGTGGTGCCGGTTGTGCCGCGGGCCACAGAGCACCTGTGAAGAAGTGGACTAGAATTGCCCATTTTCATGTCTGTTTCACTCGTGTGGTTTCCCGGAACCAAACTCTGCCCTCATTGATCAGCGAAGACGCCTGCCGCCACCCTCTTTTTTTCTTCTGTGGGGGTGTATGTGTGGAGCCGGAGCTAAGGTCGCGCAGAATGGCTTGGGGCTAGTTGATCCTTCCACTTCTATCTCTGTCTAGTGTTGAGCTTATGGACATGGCTCTCCTGCTTCCCTTTTACTTTTCCCTGTTTCCCCTTTTCTAGTTCCTCACCAGACTATTCTAGCCTCCATTTAGGGTCCTTTTACATTTTATTTATTTATTTATTTATTTATTTGGAACAGGGTTTTTCTGTGTAGCCCTTATTTATTTATTCATTCATTCATTCATTCATTCATTCATTCATTCATTCATTCATTTATTTATTTATTTATTTATTTATTTGGAACAGGGTTTTTCTGTGTAGCCCTGGCTGTGGTGGAACTAACTCTGTAGACCAGGCTGGCTCTAACTCCGCCTGCCTCTGCCTCCGCAGTGCTAAGATTAAAGGCCTTCCCCACTCTGCCCTGTTTAGGGTCTTTAAAATTTTGGAGGTCTCACTTAGCATAGGACCTTGAGATCCCTATGTAGCCAGGGATGACCCTGATTTTAGCAAGCACAGCCTAACCCAGCTCCCTAAGGCTCATTGAATTAAGGGAGTTTCCTAGGTGTTCCCTGGAGGAGTTGTTTGTGAACCACTACATCTACATCTGAAAAGAATCTTCCTGTGGGGGCTGGAGAGTAAAGAGCTTCCTGCTTAAACTTGCAGTTCTGAATTCTCATCCCTAGTGTCCTTGCAAAATGGAGAAAAACACCTGGCATCCTCTCTTGCTCATGCATGCAAACACACACTTCTTTTTTTTTTTTTTTTTTGAGGCTAAGACACAGGAGAATTTTTATTTCTAGGCTGGCCTGGGTTATGTGGCAATTGATGTGCCAGTCCTGGGCTACACAGGGAGGTTCAGTCTCAAAAATAATTATATAAATGAGGTAGATGAGTGTTTTTTAAGATTGATTTATTTATTATGTATACAGTATTCTGCCTTGCATGTACACCAGAAGAGCACCAGATCTCACTACAGACGTTTCTGAGCCACCATGTGGTTGCTGGGAATTGAACTCAGGACCTCTGGAAGAGCAAGCAGTGCTTTTAAGCTCTGAGCCATCTCTCCAGCCCTGTAATGTATTTATGTTTATTTTACGTGCATTGGTGTTTTGCCTGCATGTATATGTTGAGAGAACCAGGCCAGTGTCTGATTCCCTGGAACTGGAGTTGCAGACAGTTAGGAGCTGCCACGTG